GATGCATCAGCAGACTCTTATCTGCTTATTGATGATTCCAACAAGCAAAAAAGGAAGGACACGATGTCATTTCTGATGGACTTTAAGTCATCGGCAATTCTGTTTATTTCCTCCATTGTGATGTAAACAACATAATATCTTTCTCACAGAAAACCAATGTGCCGAGTCCTTCTTTTGTCGACATTTTTGACAACCTTCTTTCTCTGTGCCGCGTCTGTCGCATCGATATAAGTTGGAACGTTATATCTTCATTATCATTCCAAAGATTTACAATGGTGCCTTGAGTGTTAAAATGGAAATTTCCTCACGTCTAGTTGATGTCGCCAAATGGAAATGTGATCTTTGATTCATTTGCCTCTGCTCCCTTTACAACCATCTCTCCTCCCTCCCTGCCATTCTGTCTCTGATTTGAAAAAGAAAAGAACCCAATGCTTGGCACCGAGCGGAGGAGGAAGGGCTGCAGGGGTCGCAGCTGGTACCCTGGATGACGACCTGGCCCGAGACACACGAAAAAGAGCAGAGAAAAGAGGGGAGGGAGGAAGAACAGAATTTAAGGGATGGACAGATGGAGGGTACGGCAAAATTGAGGGCTGGAGGGAGAGAAAGGGATAATGATGATGAGACTTCTGCCGGGGCAGAATACAGCTATTGGCTAGATGAAAGTGAAACTGATTGGGCTGAGAGAATTATGGAGGGCGAAAAGGAGAGCGTGATGGATAGAGGGGATGGGTGGCAGATGGGGAGGCCCCTGTTACTCACTGCTGACCACTCGCTTTTCCTCACAGTAGGATTTTTAAGCAAAAAGCTGTGGCAGAGAGGGACTTTCACTTTTTCTCTCATCTTAGACTTAGTTGGGACCAGTGGCGGTGGTCTTTCTCCTCCCATTGGATATTCCTCTACTGAGTTACTGTATTTAACAATTATCTGCCATTTGAGGACATCTTCTCTGTCTTACTTTTGCTTTTGTCTTTTTCAATGCACAAAAATGGCATCAATTCCTGTCGTAACTGATATTTTTGGCCACACAGAAGAAGCAAAAACAGCTGTTCACACGGTATGAACATCTTATCACCGGGCTGTCAATCATCTTAGATGTTGATCAACAATGTTTTACTTTACTAGTAGAAGTAAGACATTGTAAAAGATTCCGTCCATAACTTGTGAATCTAGGTGTGTTTCCGTTGGAGTGGCAGATACACCCATTGAGCCGCAGATATAAACAAACAAGTGCATTTTAAATCCTCAGTTACAAATCAGTTTACGTTGTTAAATCATTTAGAATGAAACGGTGAGCACCAAGGTCGTCTCCATACACATAGCCACCACACCGGCTGCAAAAGCCTATAGAGCAGAAGTAGAAATCGAGCCTGAGAGCCAACGAAAGCATTAAAGTTGCTGTAAAACAACGAGTTGAAAGGCGCGGAAATGCTTTGCAGAGCTGATGGGAGCTGAGTTGCATCATCTGTTGTTTCATCACCACCAGCAACACCTTTTACGGGGCTCATGAAATTACATGTAGTGTTGTAACGGACCACCGTCCTTCCCTGACCTGCACGGATAACACGGTGGATTAACTACACTTTGTGAGCTTAACCACCACAGGGTGAAATAACGTTTTACTGACGATCATTCACCAAAATATGCGGTAAGGGCATCGGCAGGTCGCCAATCTCAGCTAATGTTGCATTGTCTATAACCAATCCATTTTTTTATTATTTTAGATTAAAGTTGGAAGCACCTAAAAGGTTTAGTTATACTATTATTTATTAAGGTTCAGTGAAAATGATTTACTGGTGATTTCATGTAATCCTTTAAAACGTAGTGCTTGCAATGAACTTGAATAGCTCCAGTAGTTTGAAGGAGCAACATGAATATATATCAGAGAAAAAACTATGACCTGCTTATAATATGTCATAAAAACGACTGTTGACAAGATGTTTGTTTTATTGCATCAAAATAGAATCTTTCATTTCCTCAACATGGGATTTGTGTGCTTTTGTGAAACAATTACCATGAATTACTTTGAGAAGGGATAACATCAAGATTTGGGATTTTTAACAATTACTTCAGGGTGGTTGAAGTTTGGGGTCATCCAAAAATTGTTATCAGGAATCTCTAAAAGTTATATTTGCTTCCTTTTGCTGTCTGTGCTGAGCCGACCTGGGGTCTGATCCCTGATACAATGCGCACAGCGACGTTTACTAATGACATCTGACACTGCTCATGTTATCAAAATACAGCAGCTTTAATTCAAATCATTTAGCAAAGGGGTTTGTGGTGGGATGAAAACTGCTAGGAATCAATATTTACCACTGATGAAGCATAGTTTTTAGCTTTTGTTCTGTTCTCAGGAAAGATCATAACTCTCTCCACACACATACACACACACACACACACACACACACACACACACACACACACACACACACTCACCATCTCCTATCAGGTGTGGATAGTTGGCAGTCATCTCGGACATCTGTCTTTCTGTGGTCAAAATGAGCCGGACTGGACCAGCTCAGGGTCAGCAAACATACAATACATCAAAAAGCTGTCTGTCTCTGTCTCTCTCTCAGCCTCCCCTGTTCATCCATCCATCTTTCCCATCTGCTGTCTCCTCCCTTATGTACCTCTGACTATAAATGCAGCGCAGCTCAGGGTCAGCCGCACGCTCTCCATCACATCCTTTTCTCTGACTCAGGTCTCTCAAGCCCCCCATCCCTGCTCTTTTTGTTCCTTGTTAAGCATCATCATCCCTTTCCATATTCTATTTATGTCTCACCCTTTGGTTCTTTCCATAGCAATACCTGTATTGGCTTCCCTCCCTCCTTCTGCTGCTTTACTCTCGCTCTCCCTCTCCTTCTGTTCGTCTACTCATCACCAGAGCCCCAGGGTTAAAACATGCTGGCATCCACTAGTCTGGCAGGTGTGTGTGTGTGTGTGTGTTTGGAAAAGGTTGCTTCATTACACTGTCGACATCTGTACTATATGTGTGTATAATTCCCGTGTCGGTTTCATAGAAAATGTCACAGAACATACGAGTGATGCCAGTTAACCAGCTGCGGGCTGTTTGCGTTGAAGGGAGGGAAGGAACATTGTGTGTGTAATATTTGTTCAATTGTGGACACTTTATACATATATATATATATGTATAATCTTTTTGGTTTTCCTACCAACTACTGATTTGACAGTTGATTGTCAAAAAGTAAAACCCCTGAAAATATTCACAAAATCTGATCATTTTTAATAAAAAATTATTTTCTTGGTTCGTTGAATGGGTCAGAGAAAGCGGTTCAAGCTCCAGGGCCGTTTTTCAGCATAGTTCATTAATAACATTGTTCTGTTATTGTGGACAAGTGACACATTTTGTGTGGATCAATAATCTTATCATATCATCAAAGCCTAGCACACAGATACTGAGACGCTTCTTGCACACGCTTGCACTTTCCTGTCCGTCACACTCACACACAAACATGCACGCACACACGCCGTGATTAAAGACCAAGGCCATCTGGCGCCGCAAAGAGAGCGAGAGGGGAAAGCACCCTCATGGACGCTGATGCAAGCCTTGAGACATGTTCCTTATACCCTCCTTTACATACTTCCTAAACTCTCAGCTTCTCTCAGTTTGCTCGCTCGCATGCTCCAATCTTTGCCTAGTTCCTCCATATCTCACGATCTTCCTCCCGTAAAAAAACTCAACATCTGAACCCAATCCTGCATATTTGCTCGTGTTTTGAAATGGATGTGGGAGATATAAAACGTGTGCCCGCTCGGTGCCTCTTTTCAGCCAGCAGCACTTAACAGATGCTCAGGGAGATTGTAGCTGGTTGTAGCAATCTGCTATTGCTGTGAGAGCAATACAAATGTGGGTGAACCATTAGAAGCAAGAGTATTATTGAGAAAAAAAGACTCAAGACTTTTTACATTTTACATTTTGAAAAATAGGGTTTGTCCACAATTCTCCCCAAATAGCAGTTTGTTTTAGATTGCAAATATAAAAAGTTTGTGTTCTATGAGGGGAAACAAATACTAAAGGTTAAAAGGTAATAAAGACCTGGGAATATCTATACTGGTGGTTAGGAATTACAAAGGTTGTTAGACAGTGCTCCCTGAGCCTAAAACATTTTTTAAAAGTTGTTAAGATTCCAAACATAGTCATAACAGCTTAATGAAAATAACCAAATCAGGCTCTCACCACAAGATGCAGCTAAATATGAGAATGTATGCTATGGATAGATTGTGAAAGACCAAGCTAGTTGTTGGCCCCACAATTAATGGGAACTACCCTCATTCATATATGTTTAAAAAATAATGTATTCCACCAAACTTTTGTTTTAACATATTCATATTAGTAGAAAGTCAAGTTATAGTATTTCACAAGGTAACAAGGAAGCACAATGCTTGAGATGGGTGCAATGTGAGTCGTGCTGCTAGACCTGATCTACCGCCTTGCATTCGAACATTTTCTTTTAACCGGATTAGTACCTTTACTTGCAGTTGGTCCAGCTGCAGCATTAACCCTTTGCACGGGTCAGGACAGATTAGATCCTAGTTTATCTCTAACTGCAGTGTGTGCACAAAACTACAGAGTCACCAGATTACCCATCAGGTAGTTAGCTTCCACAGCATTGCCTCCACTTGCAGCCTCTTTCCCAATGAGTCACCACCGCTACAATGAGCGTGTAGGTTGTCAGCTGTCAGGGATCCCGCCAGTATGTCTGGCGGTGAGTAAAAAGTTTCCAGTGCACATTATTATTATCGTAATTTATTGTTGGTTTAATTGTTTAAAGGTGAATTATTAACAATTCAACAGTTAACGTTGGTTTATTTGCCCAATGCTTACGTGACATACATAACTTACTTATCATCATCATTAACCAACAACAAGTCCAAAGCCAAGTACCTTTGTTGCCTATATTCATCCGCACAACTTTGTTTGAATTGAGAATGATATTAATCACGTGTCGCAGGTCACCGAACTAAATAACAGGCAGAAACTCTAGGGGCCGGTTTCGGAGACAGGGCTTAAATCAAGACTGAAGTAGGCCTAAATCAGACTAGTTAATCCTGGCTATTTAAGTGGCTTGCATGAACATGGCATAAATTTGGCTTAGTTAGTCTGAGACTATGGAGTCCTGGAGTAAGCTTAATGAGAACACCTGGTTCAAGCCTCATTAGACTAAGTGGAAGCACAGGCTGTTGGTCCAATTGTGCTCATGAAAACCTGAAATGGAGTATGAAACACCATTGTTGCAGTGAATTTTGAGACAACACAATGTCAGAGGCAAAGAGAATTCGCTCCAAAAATTATAGTGAGCATGAAAAAGCACTACTAAAACTAATTGTATCGAACCATCCAGTCATTGAAAGCAAAATCCATACTGCTGCTATTGAACATAAGAAAAGAAGTGCTTGGACTGCAATTGGCAAAGAATTCAATGCAAATGAAGATGTCACCACAAGAACAGTACAACAACTGCAGGTGAGTTAATCTTCATTATTAGGCACAAAAATATGTGTTTGTTTCCTGTTGCCTATACCCTGCTTATTTATGGCCTACCCAAATACAATACTCCTGCTGCTTGTAGCATTCACATTGAATGAATATCCTGTTTAAAAGGATAGTAACCTATTTTAAAGGGGCATATGCATGTTAAACATGGTGGTAGAGTAAGATATGTTGCACAAAGGAAAATCCATACCTATATGTGAGGGGGAAAGAAATATACAATCATTTCTCCACCATGACCTAAATTATCAGGAGACAAACTTATTTTTATTATGCCTTATCAGTACCAGTATTTCAGATTTCCCATATTACTATTTTTGTGACATCAAAAAAGAAAACTAATGAATGATATCTGCCTTCATAGGTTCTATGGAAGAACATTAAACTGGGATTAAAAAAAGAGAATGCAGCAAGCAGAAGAGAGCGATTTATTACAGGTGGTGGACCACCAATAAAGGACACATGTGATGAATTGGGTGACTTGCTGTCTGGTATAATAGAGCACCAGCAACCTCTGGATGGTATACCAGACAATGACCATTTGGACAGTGAACATGGAGAACTGAGCACAAATGGTAAATATACCTTAGGAAGTAAATTGGTTACAGGACCATATTAGTTGATTTGAGTTTGGAACAGTGGTCTTTTTGGGCGGCACGGTGGCGTGGTGGTTAGCACCGTTGCCTCACAGCAAGAAGGTCCTGGGTTCGATTCCACCCAGTGGTCTTTCTGTGTGGAGTCTGCATGTTCTCCCCGTGTCTGCGTGGGTTCTCTCCGGGTTCTCCGGCTTCCTCCCACAGTCCAAAGACATGCTCTGGGGATCAGGTTAATTGGTGAATCTAAATTGTCCGTAGTTGTGTGAATGTGAGTGTGAATGGTTGTATGTCTCTGTGTAGCCCTGCGATTGGCTGGCGACCAATCCAGGGTGTACCCTGTCTATCGCCCGAAGTTAGCTGGGATGGACTCCAGCCCCCCGCGACCCTGGGTGCAGGATAAGCGGTTAGACAATGGATGGATGGATGGACAGTGGTCTTTTTTTCCAGAGGAAACCAATCAAGAGCCAGTTCACAACGAGCCTGAACCCTCCACATCTGCTATGGCACCCCTGGGAGATGAAGCTGCTACCATCCAACAGAGACCAAAAAAGATAACTATGCATGAAAAGTTAGCCAGAGAATTTCATGAGCGTAAAATTGAATATTTAAAAGAAGAACATGAAATGAAAATGAGAATTCTAGAGGTTGAACTGGATATGAAATTGGGAGAGAGGGCTATGCTCCAAAAAAGAATTCTGCATACTAGTAGCCATGGTGAATATGAGGAATTGTGAAAAATAAAAATAAATGTATTGTCATTTGGCGTGTGAGTGAGTATTAATCATCACAAACTACATTTTACCCGACTTGGTTCACTAGTTTAATTTTGCTACATTATTGTAATTTTGTACAGAAACAGTATGCAAGCACCACTATACCATAATGGATACATTCCATATTTAAATGCTGAAGTGCTGCACTGTGAAAGCAGCTCTGTGTGCAAGTCCTCGCTGGTCATTGGCTGCCTCTGCCACCATGGGCACATCTGCATCATCCTGATCTTCCATTGGCAGGTCAGGACAGCCATGCTGCTTCAGGTAGTTGTGCAGCACAGCTGTAGCAATGATCACTTTGCAGCATCTTCTTGGCTTGAAACGAATCGTATTTCGTAAGCACTGGAATCGAGTTTTCCATACTCCAAACATACGCTCGATCATCCCTCTAGTACGGATATGAGCTCTGTTGTACCTTTGCTGCTCAGCTGTTGTGGGATTTAGATGTGGTGTGAATAAATAGTTACTCTGACCATATCCACTATCACCAAGTAGTAGTCCACTATGTTGTCCACTCTCAAATTGTGCACACAATGAAGAGTTGAGAAAAATCCTTGAATCATGGGTTGCACCTTTCCAACGGGCAACAATGTTTGAAAACTCCAAATTAGGAGTGCATACACCCTGAACATTGATTGAAAAACAGTTCTTACGATTCCTGTATTCCTCTGCATCAGGAGTTGATGGACACTTGATGGGAACATGACATCCGTCTATACAGCCAATCACTCCTGGAAAGTGCCCATATTCATAGAATTGCACTTTATAGTTGGCTTGCCCAGCAGCATCAGGGAACTTGATGTAAAGACTCCTCAGTTCACAAATGGCACTGCAGACTTTGTGAACTATTCTACATACAGTTGGTTCACTGACACCACACAAATCACCAGTTTCACGATGAAAGATTCCACATGCCAAGAACCTCAAAGTGATCAGAACTTGCAGTTGATTGGACACAGGCCTTCCTCTTTGAGACAGAGAGGAAAGTCTCGGCTCAAGCAAAGTAATTATCTCCAATGCATTTTCTTTGTGCATACGAAAGCGGTCTCAAAGTTATTTCATCAAACTGATTCAATGGATCACTCCTATCCAGCAGTATTCGTCTGGCTGGCCTTTGTCGTGCATGTTGGTCCTCATTTAGATATTCCAAATAGTCCATGCTCCCAAACAATCCAAGCTCAGTTTCACAAACAGTAGCCTAGCCTACTAAGCGGGAGTTAAACCTGCCTCCTTGGCAGATTAGTTTAAGCTTCAATTCAGTCCAATTTAGTCCTGGAGTAGCTCTAATGCTCAATTTTGCAATCGGCTTTGTTTAATCCAGAACAGGCTTAATCCACGAGTATTTTAAGCTACGTCTGTGCAAGTGAATTTCAGTTAAGCCAGCTCAAACAGCATTTTAGTCTGGGACTAGGCTTGAGCCTTGTCTCCGAAACCGGCCCTAGGTCTTCTTCTGCCCTAACGCTTCCTACAACACATTTCATGAGGGAATTTGTTTTGTGTGTATTCTTGCTGTATACGTAAATCCATTTCACAAACCTTTACACTACGAACTCCTACAATACTTACATTGTTCTACCCCAGAGGGGGAAAATACATTGTTGAGTTAAACCAACCAATGCTTGACTAATCTAAAGTATACTGTATTTTAATATGCCAAGCCATATGCTAATCACAAGGAATGGGATGCTGAACACTGACTAAATGCAAACACAGGACCCTCCATCTGTCCCCGGGGCGAGAGAGGAGGAGGTAATTTACATGATTAATTACCTATAGCTAACAAGCACCGGCGGTGTTCAGGGCTCCCAGGGTTCCTTACATGGCACGCTGACGAGTGTGTGTGTGTGCGTTTGCAACCATATCCCTACTTCATAGTCTAGTCAGGTAATGATCTGTAATTAATGATGCAGCCTAATTTTGCTGTCTTACAGCTTTTTGAGGAAAGAAAAAGTTGGTTCCAATTCAATTGCAACATATTTACTTAAGTTCAACTTTACAAAAATAGAAAGCATTTCTTTTAAATTCTGTCTCGGGAAACTATTACTCGTGTTATGTTTTAATTCCTGCTTATTTATACTATCTTTATAGTATTTTCTAATGCATCAATAAACGAGAAACAATATATTGTGTTTGCTTGCACATCCCCATGCCTCACCATGTGCAGCACATACCTGTTTATACATTTGCGCTGTGGTGAAGTCAAAGCCGATATGGGAATCAGGTAGTTAAAGCCCTGCGAAGCAAATTTATGATATTGAGCCATACAAATGATATTAATTTGACTTCTAGTGATGTTAAAGAAACAGAGCAACTTCAAATTAAGGAAAATAAAGGGGAAAAAATGGGCTAAAAGATGAGCCTTAACAAATCTAGCCTTGAATGAATTAGGAGGGTGGATGTTTTTCATATTAAATAGTTGTGAAAACATTTGACGGGAAGCGGTTCGCCAAGGATTTCTTTTGTTGAAAAAAACCCAAAGGTTTATGAAGAAGGTAAAGCGGTGCCGTCCCAGCAGAGCAGCCGCGATGCTGCAGTGCAGCTCTCCCCATGTTGCTGTCTCTCACTATGAAACTGACTGGAGACATATGGACCGGTTCATTATGGCAGAGCAGCTTCCACATGAGGCATGCGGGTTCGGACGAGAGGGCAACTGTCTGTGTCTAGGTGCATGCAGCTGTGTGTGTGTGTGTGTGTGTAGGTAATAGGCTGCACCACAATGCCAGTGTTATGATTTGGCAGCAATCAGAGGCTAACACGCTTTAGATGGGAGACATCAACACACATTGTCTCTGGAGAGCACGTGGTCACGCATCCTCACCGAGGAGATGGAATAACATGTGTGCACACAGTCGATTATATTTCTATAGAGCCATGGTTTCATCAACAAACCCACACACAATGGCAGTAAGACACGGAAGCCCATACAGGGAATGAACAGCAGCATAGTCAGTTAATGTTAAAAGTATAGTATAATGCTACGTCCATGCTGCCTTAATGTGACACAACGCAATAAGAGGCTGAAACTCATAAGGTTAATATTGTTTAAAATCTCAATTTTTTTTTTAAAATAGACAAGTCAAACACACAAATCGTAGGTTTGTGGATGACTGTTGTTATTATTAGCACAGGAAATGCCCTCTAAAGACTATATAAGGGCATGTGTAGTGCGAGCTCCACATAACTCTGGCACATGCCAGAGATAATTCCTCCCCTCGCTCACCCCAAAAAGAGGTGTAGGAAGAAATTTAGGGAATTTGTGTTAATGAAACCTTAACAAAGTCAACCGGGGCTTTTCCATATTGGGATCAATAGAACAATAGTACTCCTGAGGCTGTAAATTTGAATGCGCGTTATCGACTAACAACTCATCTGTGCCTTGCTGCCGGTGGCACGGAAATGCCTGTCCAAATAAGCTTCTTTGTCCCCATTAATATTCACAAGTCATTGTATAATTGTGACTATTAAATATTATTGAACTGTATTGATAAATAATGAAAACTGTAACGCTGGGCTCTGATCGAGAGGGCTGAGTGGAATCCTCTGGAGGCTGGATTACGCACGGTCTGCCAGAGTGAGGTTAGATTACTGCCATTTAGGGGACGAGCTGCCCGCAAACATGACTCTGAATTAACCTACGTCCACACACAGGGATAAGAGCAGGATGGAGCAAATAGAGTGTTTGTACACTCTACATTTCCTGTCGTGGTGTTTCCAGTCAGTCCTGCTGAGTTCCACCAAATCAGAATGTGGCTCATTTATAAACCGCCTCTCAGTGGGTGCCGCCAAAATCAACGGGGGAATTTGAGAAATTCTGTTGCAGGAATTGATTTATGATCACTGCTAAGACGCAGCCCTCCTGAATGTCTCTTTACTTAACATATTCTATCAGCAAAAAAATAGAAGCGTCCAAAAGGTGAACCATAATGGACAATGTGCTCATATATTTCTGTTCTCCATGAGGCCTGAAATCAGTAAAGACTCATTTTCTGCAGTTAAATTGCTGTTTGAAGCCAACGAGTCACTGTCGTGCCTACATCCTGACCAACCAACATAGTAATCAATCAAAGGTAAAACAACAAATACAATGTATCAGAGGCCAGCTAGCCTTAGAGCTGAATTTATGCTTATTTCTGTATGAATTCCCATATGATTTAGCCAGTCAAAAGCAAGAGGGAGGGAGTGAGAATAAACAGGGCTCTCAAGTTGTGTGAGAGGAGATTCTACATCATAGAAAACGCAGACGGGTAAGACAAACCTAATGCTGTCCCGATAATAGGAGATTTAAAGTCATTCTCTCTCTTCTCAGTCTCACAAAATATACAAACACCAAATAAAAAGTTTCATTGTTTGGGAATCAAAATACAAATGCAACCAATCCAGTATGCTATTAGAAACAATAGGAAGTCTATTCAGTCTACAGTCTTATAAAACAATCAATAAAATCCTTCTGCCGAATCAAACTGTGTGTGTGGGCACGACTCTGGCGGTGTGTGTGCATTTAAGAGCATGTCCTCACAAGTAAGCGTGTTTGTGCATGTAAATGTGTGTTATAGAAAACAGGTTGAGCAGTAGTGCATCAATGAATCTGTGTAAAATCCGTGCGTGCGTGCGAGTGTGTGTGTGTGTGTGTTCTTTAAGAGCACGGTGAGTGTTTGGTACAGAATTTAAAAGCCCTGCCAATTGCTAAACCTTGTTTTTCTGCCAGTGCCTGCTGTCAGTTCCACCTGTGCCATGAAAAGACAGACACAGGGACACGCAGCTTCGCAGCTGTCTCCCCTCAGTGCAACACGGAAGCAAAGGACACGCTTCAGGTTTCAGAGAGCACAAGATACGTTAAAAGGTGTTTGTGTAGGGAAGAGGCAGAGAAAGTAAAAATCAGAGCGCACTTGAAGCTAGAAGGACAGCAGACGATTACTGTAGATTCAGGTATTTCAAGTGCTCGATAAACTCGTTGTCTTAAGTAACTTTAAACTCAACCTGACCTCTGTTATCTCACATTTCTTTAGCCCAGTATCTCCTGACTTACTG